ACAAGCCAAATCAGCATGAAACCACAAATAAAAATCAACAGACTGTGCCAAAGACCTTGGGGGGATAAAGAGGTTTATAAGTCTGCTTTACAGAGGGGCTTTTTCCACATTCATAAGGCAGCCCCCCGGGACACAAAGGCAAAGTTATGAAAACAGTCCCCTTCACGTAAACCCCAACGTTCTCCAGCTCCAATCCTTAAACCCACAGCAGTTCAAAAATGAACCTAAATCTAATCTGTTCCATTAACAGTGAAATTTCAGAATTAATCCTGACTCTACAGGCAGCCAACTCAGTTCTCCAGCAGGCAAAGTCCTCTTCTCATAGGAGAGTTCTCATGAGAGACTCATGTCCAGCGTGAGAGATTCCCCTTTTGGGCCAGCCTCTGAATTTGGGTCCCACCACACAGGGTCAACTCAGTAGCCCAAGGATCTCCCTTCTCTGCCCCTGTGCAGCTCCTGGCTCTCCAGGAAAGCTGTGGAGCAGCCAGGACAGCATCCCTGGGGAAGGGCAGTGAGTGGAGCTGCAGCCAGAGCCAAACAGCACGAGTGACACAAAGCCACTGGCTGGGGGTGACACAGAGGTGCCTTCCACCCCTGCACCTCAAAACAGGGAACAGGGGAATGCTCAGAAACCTTGGAGCTAAATAACAAGAGATTTAGCTGTTTACTGGCATTCAGTTTTATTAGAAGTAAGCAGACAGTTACTTTTTCCATCCCTGACAAAGTCTTGGACTGACGCCTTAACCTCGGGGCATCAAACGAAAACAACAACGACGATGACGAAGAGCAAAAAAGCAGCAAATAAATCACATATAAACCAAACCAAGAGCAAAACACTGCCCCAGTAAGCAAATGAATTACCACTGTCAGTGACTGAGTTATGCACAACCACCATGTGTCTCAGCATGCGACGAAGGAGATGGGACAAAAACTAAACATCTCTCTGTGGTAGTTTTTGTTTTGTTTGAATAGGGCCATGTCACAACAGCTTTGGGGAACCCGGCCTTCCCTCATTCACCTGTGACCTGAACCTTGAACTTCAACATGGGCCACCTTTCAAACTGACACCCTGTCCAAGAACAGATGGGGAAAAGAGGATAAGGAGCGGACAATGTCCAGTCAGTCCTAACTCCCTTTTAGAGGTAGCACTACTAGAATGCAAACACAGTAAAGGGTCGCACACAGTCTGATGGGGGAAACAATCAAATGCCTTTCTGCTGCTATCCTACATATCCAATGCTGGACTTCACAAATCTAAGTTATTTTCATTTAGCAATAAACATTTTAGAGCTGTTCCCCCCACTCTCCAGCTATAAAAGCCCACTGTCACTTTAAAGACCAGCCCTGGCTGTGGGTTGAAAGCAGAGATGGAGAGAATGTACGAGTGGTATTCAAACTTCGATGGGGCAGAGGGAACCCTGGGGGGAATGGGCTTCACCAGAATAGACTCCAGGGCTCCAAACAAGACAAACTGCCCAGAACTGACAAGCACAAATTTGGGGGGAAGACTCCTAGTTCACATCTGACAACTCAACTTTGTGAACGTTTGGTATCCTGTGCCTCTGCAAAACTGAAGGGACCCAGACCTGTGCCATTCCTGCCCTCCAGATCTGAAAACCTTCTGTGCAAAGGCCGGGGCACAAAGCAGAGGGGCAGACACCACCTCCCCCGTCTGACAACTTACTGCGTGAACGCTTGGCATCCTTTGCCTCTGCAACACTGAAGGGACCCAGACCTGTGCCATTCTTCTCTTTCTGACCTGAAAAGCCTCTGTGCAGAGGCTGGGGCACAAAGCCCCAGGACCTGACACAGCTTCCCCCATCGCTGTTTGACCCAAAGGATAGGGCACAAAGCCCCAGGTGCAGACCCCGCTCCCCCCATCGCTGTGTGACCCAAAGGATAGGGCACAAAGCCCCAGGGGCAGACACCGCTTCCCCCATCGCTGTGTGACCCAAAGGATAGGGCACAAAGCCCCAGGGGCAGACACCGCTCCCCCCATCGCTGTGTGACCCAAAGGATAGGGCACAAAGCCCCAGGGGCAGACACCGCTTCCCCCATCGCTGCGTGACCGCAAGGACGCCTCTGCCCTTCCACCCTCCCAGCGCGCAGGGGATGCCCTCCCCATCCTCCCGCGCTCCCGCGGGTGCTCTCCCCGCATCCCCCACGGCTCGGCGCGACCCTGCGGGGCCCTCCTGCATCCCTCCCCCCTCCTCCCCCTCGCTGATTGATGGATGCCGGCGCGGGGGCGGCCGCGGCCCGGGGGGAGGAGGCGCCAGGGCGGCCGGCGCGACGCGGCCGCTCTCTCTGCCCCCCCTCCTCTCCCCTGAGCCTCGCAGGAAACCGGCGGTCGGTGGCGGAGCGGGGCCCGGCGCCGGCCCCTGTCTGCAGCTGCGGCAGCAAACGAGCTGCGACGGGGCGGCGGGGGGCGGGCGCCGCTCCCCCGGCACCGCCGGCACCGCGGCCGGGGCGCGGGCACGGGCGGGGGGGACGCGGCGCCAGCCCCGGGGAGGGATGGGGGGGGTACCGCGCTCGGCTGCCCTGCGGGGACCCCGCGCAGCGGGGGAGGAGCTCAGCCCTCGGGGGGAGCCGTGCCCGGCTCGGCTCCGGCTCCTGCCAGCGCGGGGTTGGGGCACGACGCGGTTTCCCTTCACGGACAGACCGCTCCTCTCTCCTCTCAGCCTTAGACGGAGAGCCAGGCAGGGCCTCTGAGCCATCGATGCGGGGATTAAGAGCCCCTACTATTCCCGCCTGGCTGGGATACACTGGGTGTCACCTTTCCCAAAAGAAGAGCCGGGCTCAGCCCTTGGAGCGCTCCCTTTGCTGCCTGCGGTGAGCAGACGGGGAGAGGGGCAGACGCCTGCAAGCAACTGAGCTTGCCCCCCTTCCAAAGGCAGGGCTTGAGTTTTCCTGGCCTATTCCCGCTGTCCAAGGACTGATCGGTGGAACCGGCTGCAGGCAGGATCAGCTCCCCACCTCCACACCCCAAGGGATAACACAGCAGCACAAGGACCAGGCATTGCAAATTTCAACTGACTGACACTATAAAATATAAAGGATTTCTGCACTGGAGGAGAATCAGCCCTTTGATCTCAGCGGTGCTTGACTGGGTGATCACTAAATGGGGAAAGGGAAACTGTGCCCGATTTTTAATCCTCCTCCTTGTGTGACTGTTTGGAACGTGTGGTGCACGTAGCTACGACAAGGCACTAGCGAAATATTTCAGGTTCAATATGTGGAACTGTCCTTTGGTCAGATAACGTGTTCTAATTACAGCACAGAAAGGGCAGCGAGCACTGACAAAAAAGAGTTCTGATGAAAGTCCTCACTGGGGTTTGGCCTTGCTGTGCAAATTCTGACATCAAAACCCCCTTCCAGCTGGGGAAGCAGCGGGAGGCAAGTCCAGAAAGATTTATTTCTCCTTTCCCAAAACTACACCAACCTCTTTTTTCCTCCATCTGAACTTCTCAAATTCAGTTCTAAAAGTCTACCAGACACTTGTTCCATGCAGAGCTGCCTTCCCATTGGGAAATGCACAGATCCCTGCACAGCTATTAAAAATGCTGCTGCTAGGAAAGCGTAGTATGGCCTTTGGGCTACCAACTAATGCGACTTAGTAGTCAAAAAGTGACCAGCGGACAGTGTCACCTGGCCAGACACTTCTCAACACCATCACAACTGTGGCACATCCCTTTGGTCTGCCAATTGTTGGCTCTGATCCACAGGATTGGTAACCAAAGCACATGCCAAGCTCCAAGCTGGAGGAAGCTGATCACACCCCAGCACACACCTTGCCCCATCAACCCAGAGGAACTTGCAAGAGCCAGGTTTCAGTCCACCTGATTTAAAACACCACGGCAATGGTGCAGCAGAACCAGTCCCCGTGAGCCCGATGGGCAGTGGCACGGACCTGCTGCTGCACAACACACAGGCAAGACACCTTCACATTTAATTTATGTGACTGATTACTGTTCTGAGCCCCTTCCCATGGGAATGTGGATATAACCATGCATACACAGAGATATTACCCAGGAACGATACAAACTCACAACTCTATCTGTCGTGCCAAACCACGACAGAGACTCTCTGTGGACAGAGACCTGATGCCAAAGAAGCAATAAAAAAAATTTAAAAAAAGGTTGATTTCAGTGAGTAAAAGTACGAAAATTTCCAGCTGTATCTGTTTCCACAGTGCTACTGACAGTGTTGTTCTTTCAGACCAAGACCTGCTTTAGTTCACCAAACCAACAGCTTTTCCCTCCCGGTTAGATATTATTGTACTTTACGGTTATTTTTAGACATGATGAACTCTTTTAAAGCCTTACTTTACTATGATTTCAGTAGCTTTTTATATATAGCATCAACATCTTTTCCATGAAAATGTTGATGAGAGATTTTGAAAGTCTCAGGATAAAGGCAAGACAGCAGAATACACAAGGAACTCAAAAGCTGGGAAGAAAAGATCTCTAAAAGCCATAACTGTGACCCGTGACAAGAATGTTGTTCAAGTTGTAAGCATTTAAGATGAGCTTGTTTTCCTCATTAAGTTCATCTAACCAAATTCACTGATGGTTTGTAAACTGTGGCTGTTCTGACTCTGACACGTGGGTGCAATTACAATTCCCTTTCGCTTTATTTAGCCATTTTTACACCTCTGCACAATACACAAAAATGAAGGGGTGGGAATAAGGAAGAGGCTCCTGAACGATTTGCCTTTGCGCACAGACAGCTCCCCCTGAAAACCAAAAAAATCACGCCGTGTGCTTCCTTTAGGTCAAACACTGCTCTTCCCATCTGCTCTGCTTCCAAACTCCTCTCCTGCTCGCCTCTCCCTGGACTGCAGGAACCCTCACAGTGTAAGCAGGGCTCTGGCAGACTCGATGACCCTCAGAGATCACGGTTTCATGATCACAGAAGCAAAGAGATTTTTTTTTTTTAAGGAAAGGAGGCAGAGGAGAGGGAAGATGTCTTAGCTAAAGCACATAGTTTAACAATAATCTTACCACTGGAGACGAAATTCGACACCCAGGGCAATCACAGATTGGAGGATGTACCTGTAAGATTCCTTTGGACATAAGAGTCTTCAAACTTTTCCCTATATGCAGAAGAGAAGAAAAAGCAGAAGAAGAAGAAAAAGGATCAGCACGTTTATAAAAGGAAAGTATTTAGGGAAAGGGGGGAATAGGGAGGGGGGTGCACGCGTCTGCTTCCCTATACACACCCCTCCCCTCGCCTGCCTACCAGCACCCACCCCCGCCTGCCGCTTCATCCAACTTTCTCCCCCGCAGGTACCCGCGGAGGGAAGGAAGCACCTGCGCAGCCCTCGGCAGCCGCTGCCTGTCCTTGGTTCCAGCGCTCCCGCAGCCCGGCAGAGCCGCGGCAGGAGGAGCTCCCGCACACCCAGGGCAGAGCCGCGGCAGGAGGAGCTCCCGCAGCCCGGCAGAGCCGCGGCCAAGCCCCCGCAGGCTGCGCGCTGCCCACGCACCCGGGGCACGGCCGGGCGAGCGGGGCAGCCCACGCGGCGCCTCTCCGCTGCTCCTCTGTCCACTGCGCCTCAGTCCTCCTGACTCACCCCAGAGGAATTGAGCTTTTCCCGAAGGCAGCAGGAGCCCCAGTAATAAAAGAAACGGGAGCGATGCGCACGGGAGCCCCGGCAATTAGCGCGGCGGCCCGAAGCGATGCCCCGGCGCTCTGGCGATCAATAACCCAGGCGAGGTGTCAGTCACCTCCTAATCGCTCCTCAGCCCCCCAGGGCTGACACCTCCGGGTCTCAGAGCTCATTACGTGCCGCATCGGCTCCGCTCTCTCCCCGCCCGCCCCCGCTGCTCCCCCCGGAGCCCCCCGCTCCTCCGCCGGGGCCCCGCTCTCCACCTGCCGCCCGCACCAGCAGCTCCGCCGCGGTGCCGGGACTGCGGCGCCGGCTCGGGCGGGCGGGGAGGGGAGGGAGGGAGGCAGGGCAGGCGCCCGTCAGCAGCCGCCGGCGCCGCGGAGGTCCCGCACCACCCAGCTGCGAGGGGAACACCCCCTCCGCCCCGCCCGCCGCCCCGCCGGTGCCTGGCCGGGGCTGCGCTGCCGCTCCCCGCGGCGCCGGCTCTGCCCGACACCGCCGCCGCCGACACCGCCGGGGGCTCGCAGGGGCGGGCGACCACCCCCGCGGGACGCCGAGCCCCCCGAGAGCCCCCGCGGTCCGCCCGCTGTTCAAACCTCCGCCCGCGCGGAATGAAACTTCTCTCCAGCAAGAGAGGAGCCTCCCCCCACCCCCAAAATCAACGCTCAGCCTTCCTCACGCACCCTCCACCCCCCCCCCCCCACCCCTAAAAAAAAAAGGAACTATTCCCAAATCCCCGGAAAACTTGGCGGGGCGCGGGGATCCGGCGGAGAGGGGCCGGGGGTGCGCGGGGGAGGGGGGCACGGCCGCAGGGGATCAGGGCTCAGCTCTCCCCGTGCGGGCGCTAATAGCCGGTAAGCTCCCCCTCGGATCCCGCTCCCCGAGCGCGGGGGCGAGAGGGAGGATGCTGAGGAAGAGCGGAGCGGCGCGGGGACCCCGGCACACGCCGAGCGGTGCCTTTACCTTTGTGCCTGATGCTGCGCTTCCAGTCCTTGGCCGTCTCCCTGCCGCTGACAAACTGGAACTCGTTGGGGGTGAGCCACTCTCCCCGGTACCGGATAGAGGGTCCTTTGCTCCCCTGGCACAACTTATTGATGTAGAGCAGCGCCTTGTTCTCCCCGCACTCCACCTCGATGCAAGGCTCTCCGTTGTCAAAGAAGGGCTGGAAATCCGGGATGGAGGAAAACCTCTCCAGCATCAGGTCCTCGGGGAGGTGGTGGGGGTGGTGCGGGTGGTGCGGATGGGGGTGGTGGGTCTCGTGGAAGCCCAGGTACGCGCGGTGGGCAAAGATCTGGTCGTAAGCCGGCGGGTGCGGGGTGACCACCGGAATGGCAGCGGCGGCCAGAGGGGCGAGATAGTCAGGTAAGGTTTCCATGGGCTGGTTAAAAGCTGCCAGGGCCATCTCTTCCCTGTCAAGTCGCTCCTTCTTGATAGCAGGCATGGTGCTGCTGCGCTCCCCGTGCGCCCTCGTCTCTCCAAAGCACAGTGGCTCTAATGTCTCCGGTTCAACTTGCCCCCGCTCTGGCTGGAGTTTGGATGAAATGCGCCAGCAGCAGCAGCAGCAGCAACACAAGCACCTTTGGCGCTCGGGTGCCGGAGGTGGCTGGTATCCCCCGGAGCAGCCCGCTAACAAATCTCCTGGGCTGGCTCCCCAGCAGAGCTGTCTGGGATCCCTCTCCCACGGAGAGGCTAATGTACCGTAGACCCGGGAGCTGCTGTGTGGCTCGCAGATCTGCCCCTCCGGACTAATACCTGACATCTCGGAGAGGTCTCTGCTGCCGTAGACATTATTTTGGTTTAAAAAAAAAAAAAAAAAAAAAAGCTTATTGATTCCCCTAGATCGACCCACCTTCTCACCAGGCTGGAGGGTTCCCCGCCGCCCACCCAGAGCCCCCCTTTCACCCTCCCTCCCCCGCCGCTTCCTTTAAACTGACACCTGGTTTATTTATTTATATGCAATAATTAAAATTAAACGCTGCGCCCCCGCCGCCGCCCCGCGACCCCTCCCCGCCCCGCCGGCGCCCGCCGGGAGGACGGAGCCCCGGCCGGTGCCGGCTCTGCCCGCGGGGCTCCAGACACCCGGGCGGCGGCGGCGAACTTTCCCCGGGGCCGCCCACCTTCACCTGCGCGGTGCGGACTCGCCCCGCTCCCACCGAAGCCTTTTATGATCCCCCGCGAGTTGGTTATTTAATTTCCACTCCTGCACGAGATTTTAAGAAACGTGGTGTTACGCTCCGTATCTCTCTGTATATACATATAGATAGATAGATAGATAGATAGATCTCTACACGCGCGCAGACACACAGACATCTACGGTGACATCCCCGCCGGCTCTGCGCTCCCCACAACGCTGCCCCCAGCCCCAAAAGCCGGCGCTGTGCCGGGCGGGCCCCCCCCTCCCCCGCCCCGAGCCGGGACAGACACGTATTGATCTGTGCTCAGAAGTCACCGCACAGTTCGGAGACTCTGACCAAACAAGATTTCCCTCCGCCGCCGCCGCCGCCGCTTCTCTAACTTGGCCCATTTAAACAGCAGAGGCGCTTTGGAAGCGCCGCGCCGGCGGCAGCGAGGGGGGTGAGCGACGGACGGCGGGGCCAGCGCCGGCTGCCGCCAGCCCGGGGGGGACCCGGGGCTCCCCCGGCCCCGGAGGGGACACGGACACCCCCCCGCATGCTGCCCATCCCTCTGCATCCCCGGGGGCCCTCCCCGTGCAGGAATACCCGCCGCTCGCTCTCCCGGGCAGCCTCCCGTTGTGCTGTACCTTGGGAAGGCAGGCTGCATCCTTCTCATTCCCGTGTAGGGATGGAGCCAGGCTTGGGAGACACGGCGTAAATTTGTTTTCCATCACATGCCGTGGCACGAGGTCCGTGTGAAGCTGCCCCGAGAGGACGACGCGGCCCAAAATTAAGTTGTGCGGTTGTTACAGAGATTTGTCACGTCACCAAGATGGAGTTCCCTACCTTTGGATGCTGAGTAGGATCGACTGGGCAGGAAGAATCCTACCTAGAAGGGAAATAAAAATAAATTATCCCCTTAAACGCAGGGCAAGAAATATGGCCCGCAAGTCTTACCAGGTGGCAAAACAGTGAGAGTTCTGTGTGAGCTCTGTCTCAGAGTTCCCAGAACAACAAAAAGTTCTCAGCTTGGTCCCAAGCTGTGTCTCATGAGTTGCCTGCTTACAGGGGGAGGTGGTGGCAAGTCGAACTTGCCTTCCAGACAGTGGGAAATGGATTTGCCGTGTGCCAACCAGCCACTGGCAGAGCTGGCAGGGTCGTTCCTGAGCAGTAACTGCCCCTGCCACTTCAGCACCATCTCCCAGGTCATCTCCTAGCACTCACAGACCAGGAGAAGGACCACCACCTGAGTTATTTTCTGTGCCCCCCCAGCTCTCAGCTGACAGGTAACCCTCTCGTTTTACAAAAAGTCCACTAATGGACCACTTTTGGGACACAGTTACTGCTTTCCTACCAGTGAAGGCAGAGAAACTGCCTCTCTGGGGTTCAGCAGATCTGGGAATGGAATCTAAGCCCCAAACCTCAATTATCTCTTGATGCTACTTGACCATGATCCTTGTTTCTTGCTTGTTTATTCTCGAGAAACACAAACTCTGGGATCCATCCTTGCTTCTTGCAGCAGTGAAGGAGGCAGATACACATAGCCATCAAACCCTCTCATTTAGGCTTTCAGGCTTAGGCTTTTATTCTTAATGCTTCTGATTGCTCAAGATTACAGGGGGAAAATCACTTTCTATTATCACCTAATGAACCAAGGAAAATGCTTGGAAGAGGGTCTGGGAGACACAGATATTCTCTGTGGAAGTGAGAGAGGATTCTGGAGGGAGCTCAGGTGAGAACTGCTCACTCTTACACGCCCAGAAACTTTCATGCCTGGCACACCTGAACTGCACCGGGCTCTGCAGAGCCTTGAGATCTACTTCCCTTGACTCCATCTCCTTTGTAACTTGGCTTCATGGGCCTGATTTCTTTTCACTTGTTACAGGGGAGTAGGTATTTTTTTCTCAAAGCCTTCCTTTTTACAGCCACAAGGGTTACTGTTCTTCACCTCCACTCCTAATGGCAACTTCACCTCCAACTATAGGGAGAGCTTGGCCACGGCCTTCTCCAAAGGTGAGTCTCCATGATTCCTCCAGGAGTGGTCACAGGAGAGCAGGACAAGGCTGGCCTTCATCCTCCAGGAACACCTTCCTCACATACAGGTGTTCTGGCAGAACTCCCTGAAGTTTGGGGTGTTCAAGAGGCGCAGATTCAGACTGATCCCATCAGCACTAAAATTAATAACAAGTCCTGCCTGTAATAAAGAGCAAGAGCTGTGTCTGGATGTCTGAGTTCAGAACAGCAGAAGTCTGAAGTTGTTCAGCTCCACTCTCTCAACAGCAGAGCTTTCGGGATTAGTGTAAACAGATTCACCACTGGAGAGCAGATCAGAGAGCACTGAGCTAACCCAGGCACACGTGGCTGGAGAGAGAACCAGGAACACTTTGCGGATTCCACACCGAGGGACTGGAACAGGTTCTCAAGTCTGGGGGGCACGAATCACCGGTGTCTTTCTGTTGTGTGTCTTTCCACGGCACCCAGCGAAGTGAAAGCACGAATCTCAATTTGCTCACAGAGGCACTACCACAGTAAACACAGTAAATGGTGATCGTTTTCCAGCGTTTAGTTCTCCGCCTCTGGAGAAAACATCGTGTTGGATTGAAACAAAGCCCGTGTCTCTCAGGTCAAATGTGTCAACAACTGCAAAGAGTTACCTGTGCTGTAAAGTGCTTTCCAAGTAGAGATAATGCTTCAAGCACAGGTCTTACACTTAAGGGAGACAGATTTTCTTCTGTATTCTATCACCAGTTTCACAGACAAATTACTTATCCTGGATATTCCTCCACTATTCAACCCAGAAAAGAAGGGAAAACTTCCTAAATGTAACTTGTTTACGTGTGTTTCAGTAAACCTCTGAGTTTCTGACTGAGATCAAAGGTTCTTTGAGCTGTGTTTTAAAAACTCATTGCAGATGCAGGCCCTGCCCCTTTACAGGAAAGACAGGTTGAGGCTGGGAGGAGAGAGACACCCTGGGAAATGACCAGCCTGAGTTCACAAACTGATCCAGAGCTTCTGTCTTTGCAGGAATCCAGCACAGATGCCGCACGTGCCGTCTCTGGCACCACTGGGCCTCTGCCTGAACTAAGCTAAAGGAAGATCCAACATTCTGTCAGCACAGCTGCACCTACAGCACTGGCCTTGCTGCCCTTGTCATAGCAGGTCTGTAGCACGAGTTTCTTACAGTCCACAACCGACTATGCCAGCAAAGCTCTGTCCTGCACACTGAAACACTTCAGAGAATAAACCAGGTCTTTCAACAACTGGTGTAGTATCCCGTGAATCCAGTATCCAGTGAATCGTGTTGTCGTTCCCCCTGAAGAAGTTGGGGTGTTTATAGCCTTTTAAGACTGCAAGTTAGCAGCTCCCCTCCCCACTTCCCTCTCTTTCCACAGAATTCCCTGACACTTATCACACCAGTGAGGAGAAGCAGCAACCCCTCTCCCTACCAAGTTGCTGTACCTACCAAAACACAGGGGAGGAGACCACAGAGCCACCACACTCACGCCTTCCTCAGCCTCTTCCGCAGTCTCAGAGGACATCAGGACTGTCTAACAGCCAGGATTCACTGCTTTTTGCCTTCTTTTCTTTGCCAGGTGCAGCCCAGCTCTGTGCTCCCTGCCTCATCGGGACTGGGATTGAGGTAATAGCAGCCTCAGGCCAGACTGCTTCATTAGGAGAGAGGTTCTGACAGCCCAGCAGCAGGAGCCACAGCAGGGAGGGCACAGGTGGGTGTTCAGGGGAGGAGGGTTGGGAAGGAGGACCTTGGAAAGGGCTTTGCCTCGGAAAAAAAACCCGCTTTCTCAGGAACTGCTGGGCTGTCCTCTTGTTAATCCCACTGATTCAGAACACTGCCTTTTATTGGAGTGAAAAAGGAGCACCATGGAACTGAGGTTTTTTCGGCTTTTCTAGAAAGCAGTGTCAGGGTAGTGTGGGCTTACACAGAAACCAGAGCTGTAAACTGCGTGCACCTCCATCTGATGCAGGCGTTCTGTCTGCTTCCAGGAGGATGGCCTGGGACAGTCAGTGGTGGCTTAAGAAACTCTCTTCTTATCAAACTGTAGTCACAAAATGCCTCTTCCAAATCACCTTCCTTACCAGCGCCCTGTACAGCTTTGTGACCAGTCTAAGCAGATCAGAACTCAGAGAAATAGAGGAATTAAAACGTCTGCCGGGGAGAAAGTTTTATTTTGGAGGCAAGGGCTCCAATTCTAAACTAGCTGCTCCGTTCTCCTAAATAATGAATAACTTCCCGTGCAGGGAACACACTGTTCTCTCTCCCAGCTGGTGCAGGGGTTATGCTGTGCTGTCAAACAATCACCTGGCCTGTGGCTCAGAGACCTCTGCACGCTGCTACACACGCACACTCCACAAGAAGCAGCTTAAATTAAAAGGGCACAAACCTATTTCCATTAAAACCAACGGCAGTTTTTTACTGACTTCACTCTTCAGTGTCTAGTCCCCCGTAATACAGCACGAGGTATTGCCCTTCTCTGCAAAGGTTTTGGAAAACAAGTTTAGTTACACTCAAGCGATGCCTCCACAGTGTAAAAAAAAAATCATTTACAGAAATCACCAATGGAATCAAAAGTATCAAAGCTGCTGTTACAGTAACTGTTCTCTGACCCCTTAAGGCAAGAGCTGCCTTCTTTGCAGCTCCAGTCACTGGGCAGCTCCCATGTCCTTCTCTCTGCATTAACTACACTTCTTTGTGCATACTGCAATTAAAAATGCATCTTCCTCCCCTTTTCCTCCCTCCTCAGAGGTTATTTATTGCTAATTTGTAACCGTTGTGAAATACTTGAGATATCAGAGTTGTAATGCAGAAGAAATCATCCACCAGACTCTCCTTTTCCCTAAAGCCTTTGTGCTACTCTGCTCCACTGCTAAGAAAAACTCCCCCGTGTCAAAAGATGCTGAAATGATGGTCAGATTGTATTCATCTAAAGCTTGGCTTTGTCCCAGCACTCCTTCCTAACTCCACTTCCCCAACTTCCTGCCCGCCTTTCCTCCTGCAATTATAGTAACAAAAAGAAACACTGGAAAGCCGACTATCCAGGAATATGTG